CATCAGGATACAGTATAGGTGGGCATCTCCCATTGGTCCTGTGAACAAAGGTGTATGGAGGAGGGACAGAGAGAACCTTTTGAAGTGAATGCTCCAGGCAAAGACAACTCTTAACTTATTTTAGGGTGGTATTGATGGGACACTGGTGTCAGATGTAGGAATTCTTGAGAGGAACACTTGTTCCCTGCTTCTTAATATTCCTTAGAAGCAAGAAAATGGCTATTTCATATGTTAGAAAGGAAAAGAATAAGAGGACCAATTCATCCTCCTTCTTTTCTGCATTTATTGCAAGAGAAGAGGTGTGACATAAGGAACTAGACAAACCCATCTCTCTCCCTCTCCTCCCCCACTTCCCTTGGGTAAACTAGTCTCTCTCCTTTAACACTACTGATACTTGGGTGGGCATTTCCTTGTTGTGAGGTGCTTTCTTGTGCATTGCTGTAGGTTTACTAGACATCTGGCCTCTGCTCACTAAGTGTCAACAGCATACTCCTGCTACCTGTGACAACCAAAAGTGTTTCCAAATACTGCCATGTGTCTCCTGGAGGACAAAATCAAGTTCTTGACAACTACTGGGTTAAACACAGATTCTGCAGAGCTGAAGACAGAATTGGTGAAGGGAAGGATAGCTCTGGAGATATTGCAGCACATTCTATGTCAGAAGTGGACAGAAATCAAAGAGAAATTGAGAGATGTAGAGGACAGATTTCCAGAAGGATATGTCAGAGTTTCACAAGGGTATTAAAGATACTGAGGAGGAAGTATTTGAAAAGTTAACTGAAAATTCTTCAGAATTAGTGAAAGTTATTGATTCTCAAATTCAGAATTCCCGTATAGATTTTAAAATCATTTTTCAATACACACATACACATAGCTTGCAGGTATTTTGAAAATAAAAAAACATTTAAATATAATTTAAACTAACATAAAAATTCAATCTTTAAAAATTAACAAAAGCAAATAACCTCAACAGAAAACTAAAACATTTTCAGAGAAACTGAAGTCCTAAATAAATGGTAGGTAGTAATATGAATTATAAAACTCAATATAGTAAGTATTTTATCCCTAAATTGATCTGTAAATTCAATATAGTCCTTATCAAAATTCTAGTAGAATCATTTTGTGATTCTAAAATGTATACAGAAACGCAAGGGTTGGGAATAGCCAGAACAATCTTGAAGAACAAAACTAAGACATTACTAGATATCAAGACGAAATGACAGACAGTATAATATTGGTATGAGGACCTATACACCAATGGAACAGAATCCAGAATCCAGAAATATACTTCTACAGACACTTGATTTATTATAAATTTAGCCCTGCCGAGCAGTAAAGAAGGGATGATTTTTTTCAATAAGTAGTGGGTCATTTACATATGTTACCAAAAAAAAGCACTTGGAAAGCTGAAGCAGGAGGATCAGGAATTTGAGGCCTGCGTGGACTATATAGCAAGGTCCAGGCCAACCTGTGCTAATAGTAAGACCCTGTTCCAAGAAAAACCAAACAAAGACGTGACAAGGAGGTTGTAAGAGAGATGGGAGAAGTGATTTTCAACACACAAAACCTGAAAACAATGTGTATTCTCCCATGCTAAGCTGGGCCTCCCCCAACAACATACACCACTTTGGGCCTTGCTCAAGTGGTAGACTGAGCGCCTCCCTAGCAAGTGTGAGGCCCTGAGTTCAATCCCCTATACCACAAACAAATAATTTAAAACTATGTCAGTAGGAAAAATCCAATTAAACTGAGCATTATGCAAAAAGAAGAGGGCCAAATACAAACACAAAAGAAATGCTCACACTCCATCATCAGACAAGTTGGAAATCATGAAGAGATCTGACCACATATGGCTAATGTTAAAATGGCCATGTATACCATGAGCTAGTAAGAATGTGGAGTGACTGCAACTCTTAAACATTGCTTTGGGGAGTATGCTTTGAGACACAATTGGGTAATACCTGCTAAGTTTTTTATTTATTTTATTTTTTGGGTGGTGCTTTGGTTTGAACTCAGGGTCTCACACTTGCTATGCAGATGCTCTGCCACTTGAGCCACTCTGCTAGCCCTTTTTTGTGTTGGATATTTTGAGAACGATTTGCCCAGGCTGTCTTCAAACAGCAATCCTCCTGATCTCTGTCTCCTGAATAGCTAGAATTACAGGTATGAGCCACCAATGCCCAGCAATATCTGTTAACTTTGAACAGACTCTCAAACTAGAATTTTTAGAGCAGCATTGCCCAGCATAGGCTGCATATGTCTACCAACCGTAGAATAGACACATGAATGATGGGTAGCAATGCAATGGAGTCAGGCATTGATGAGAATGAGTTTCCTACACTACATACAGCATATGGGTGGATCTCAAACATGTTGAGTAAAGGAGAAAGCATGAAGAAAAGCACACGGTGTGTTTCAAGTGATGCATGCTTGGTGTAAAAACAGTGAAGGGCAGCAAGGAAAGGATTAGCACAGGACAGGACAGTGGCTACTCTTGTAGGTCCCGTTGATGATGGTTGGGAGCTTCTGGGGAGCAGCTATATCACGTTTATTAATTTGTGTCACGGTCAGTGTGGTTCATTTGTCATAATTCATTGAGTTGAATATTCTTGTTTTGTGTTTTGCCCAATTGTGTGTTATATTTCATAGTAAAAGGCTTTAAAATATTAAGAACAGTTCAATACTCTTAACATGAACCCCAAAGTGTCTGCTTTCTCTACTCCAGAGTTTTGCACTTTTCTACCTCTTTGTCCTTTCTTTCTTTTTTGAGGAGACCTGACCCGCCTTCTCATGTAATTTTCCTTGCAAGTTATAAAGTTGACTTTTGAGACAGTATACTACTTTCTGAGGTGAAATCTGGCAACACAAAGCAAAACTTTATCCCATATAACTTTAACTCCCCATCTATCCCTACCACCAAACACTCCCTAAAACAAAATATAACAATATTTTACAGTTCTAAGGTGGTTTTACCCTAAGGCAAAGAAGTGGATTATTCAACATTATTTTCTAAAGTCTTCACTTCTTTAGTCTATGATAGCTAAGGTCTTGCACCTTTCCACAGTGCTGTCTGAATAGTGGGGTACTCGCCTAAGGAACTAGCCTTTAGTCATTGCTTGAGCATGGTCATCTTGATGACCAAAACCAGCTTCTCAAATCTCTTCTTGAAAAGCATGGTGTCGACATGGTTAATGTCCTGTGGCATTTCCTCCAGGCTCTCATCTGAGGGAAAAAGTCCCTGTTAATGCCTGAACACCAAGTTGACTAGGAAGGCCTTGAGACCGTCACTTCATGGCTCTGGGTAGGTTGGTGATTTCTCTTTCAGTTGTAGTAGAAGCACCGATAATCATCTTGGCAGAATCCACATACCATCGGTTATGTGGAGAGCATTTACAGGTGCCTGGATGTACAAATAAAGGTAAAATCTCACTCGCAACTTCACAGGGAATGAAAAATTGAGACTCAGTCCACTATAAAAAAAGAAAAGGATTACCCGAAGGTTTGGAGCACTTCTGGAAGAATTCCAAAAATGTATATTTCAAGGGAATGTCTTAGGGCAACCCTAAATATACTGGTGACCTAGATCAAAGGCACTGTATTTTATGAGTCCTCTCTTGACCTGGCAATCCTACTGTCCTGTAACTGTTACACTGTGATTCCTCTAAGAATCACAAATCAGCCCTGACAACATTTGGTTTCTCGTCTTCAGGAATGTAGCTGGTACATTCTTTATGTGAAGGAGGCAATCCAGGAAGGGGTACGAACCAGACAGAGTAAAGAGTATCTTATTTCATCTGCACAGAACAAAAGACTGTCTTTCCTTTACCAAGGACTGTCCTCGTCTGAGCTCTTGAGTGAAAGCATACTGGCTGAGCTATAGTTCCTAGGACAGCTATGATGCCGGCGGCGGAGAGCGGTCTCTGTGAGAAAGGAGATTGTTTTCCTTTCTCTGTGATGACTCTGTGATTATAACAGAGTTCCTTCCATCTTACTAAGGGAACAGTGATTGACACAGGGTTATTTATCCTTGACTGTAACATTCCACCAAACAAATTGCTTCCCTTCACTGATTCCAAGTTCTGTATGTTCATTTGGAGCATAATAATTTTAAAATATTATGAGTTTCTGAGGCCAATAGGAAAAGGGGACCAGGAACTAGAGAAAAGATTAGATCAAGAAGAATTAACCTAGAAGGTAACACACATGCACAGGAAATTAATG